CAGTTATACATATATATATTCTTGTTTGTATTCTTTTTCATTATAGGTTATCACAAAACATTGAATACAGTCCCCTGTGCTATACAGTAGGACCTTGTTATTTATCTGTTTTATATATAGTAGCTTGTATCCACTAATCCCATACTCCTAATTTATCCCTCCCACTTTCTCCTTTGGTAACCATAATTTTGTTTTCTATGTCTGTAGGTCTGTTTCTGTTTTGTAAATAAGTTCATTTGTATTATTTTTAGATTCCATATATAAGTGATATCATATGATAATTTGTTGTCTGTCTGTTCACTCAGTATGGAAACTTCTAAGTCCATTCATGTTGCTGCAAATCGCATTATTTCATTCTTTTTTATGGCTGAGTAGTATTCCAGTGTGTGTGTGTGTGTGTGTGTGTGTGTGTGTGTGTCTGTCTGTGTGTGTGTGTCTGTGTGTCTGTGTGTGTGTGTACCATGTCTTTATCCAGTCATCTGTGGTTGCTTCTGTATCTTGGCAATTGTAAATAATGCTGCCACAAATATATGTATATATATGCATGACTGGGACATTTTGCCGTACAGCAGAAATTGACACATTGTACCTGACTGTACTTCAATTAACAAAATAATAATGCTGCCGTGAACATTGGGTGCATGTATCTTTTCCAACTGATGTTTTCATTTTCTTTGGATATATATCCAGCAGTGGAATTGCTGGATGATATGGTAGTTCTATTTTTAGGTTTTTTTTGAGGAACCTCCCTACTGTTCTCCACAGTGGCTGCACCAATTTACATCCCACCAGTTTCTTTTAAATGAGTGATTACGAAGCTGGGTCTCCTTCATTCTGTTCATCTGAAATGGATTTATTGAACTTTTACAGTATATCTATTCTTATTTAATTTTATTTTGTTTGTTTCAGCACTGTTGCACTTTATTGAGATGCTTTTTAATCTTAACTCTATTACCTAATATCTTTTATGCCCCTTCAATCCTTGAGTAACTAATGAATTGAATTCGAGGAGTCTACGTCTTCAGTGATGCTGATAACAGCATGGTCCTGTGGCAAGACACTGGAATCTTTCCTCCATCTAGATCAAAATCCATTAATGAAACACTTTGTTTAGTATACATTTGACAGAAACTGTTAGAATGAAAGCCTAGGCCAAAGGAAGCAAAGGGAGTTGGGGACAGAATAGAAAAGGGAACTCTTTGAGGTGTGAGGACTTTAAATGCTCCTGCATCCTCCAGAAAGTAGGTACCACCTACTCTACTAAAATGAAGTTTTGCCTTCATTGAACACATGTGAATGAGTCAACTGATCTGCGATTCCATTGTATGTCATGGCAACAGTGGAATCAGAATCAGTAAAACTTGATATCATATCATTAATTTGGGAGATGCAGAGAAGGTTGGAATGGAAGGGAACATAGAGATAGGGACAAATCTCTCTTTGTTCAGACCTGCATTTTCAGGCCTGATGAACAGGACAGTGGAAGCTTACCAACCAAGCTTCTGGCCTGGTAGATGAACCTCAATTTTCATTCATGAAATATTTCATCTAGACCTATGCAATATATGTTTTTAACAGCTTTTTTCGTGTGTAGGGGTAGGTAATTAGATTTATTTACTTATTTATTCTTAGAAGAGGTACCAGGGATTGAACCCAGAACCTCATACATGCTAAGCACACACTGTACCATGTGAGCTATGTACTCCCTTAACAGCTTTAATGGAATATAAATTACATATCATAAAATTCACCCATGTAAAGTGTACAATTCAGTGGTTTTTAGTTTATTTACAAAAGTGTGCAACCATCACCACACTCTAATTTTAGAACATTTTCATCACCCCCAAAAGAAACTCAGTACTTACTAGCTGTTACTCCCCATCCCCACCTCTCACATATACCCCCAGCCCTAGCTAATCTACTTTCTGCCTATAGATTTGCCTATTCTGGACATTTCATATAAATAGCATAATGCATAATATGGTCTTTTAAAAATTAAATACATTTGATGTGTAGCATTGTATAAATTTAAGGTATACAATGTGTTGTTTTGATACATTTATATACTACAATAATGTTGCCGTTGTCATGAAAAAATATGGAACGCCTCCTGAATTTCCATGTCATCCTTGCACAGGGGCCATGCTGGACTTCTCTGTATCATTTCAATTTTTAGTATATGTGCTGCCAAAGTGAGCACAGTATGTGATCTTCTGTGTCTGACTTCTTTCATATAGCATAATATTTTCAAGGTTTATCCACACTGTAGCATTCTTTTTATTGCTGAACACTATTCCATTGTATGAAAATACCACATTTTGTTTCCCCGTTCACCAGTTAATGAATTATTTTGGTTCCTTTCACTTTTTGGTGATTATAAATAATGCTGTTATTTGGGTACCAGTCTTTGTGTGGACGTATGTGTTCATTCTTCTTGGGTAGATACCTAAGAGTAGAATTGCTGGGTCTTATGATAAATTATGTTAAACTTTAAAGAAATCGCCAACCTATTTTCCAAAGTAGCTGCACCATTTTACCATTCCACCAGCAATGTATGACAGTTCCAGTTTCTCTCCATCTTGTCCAACATTTGTTATTGGGTATACCTAGGTCATATTTTAATTGACAGTAGAATGACATTTATTTGAGGACTAATTCCTTTTTATTACATATTTCGGTTAATTGAATTTTAGTTAGGGAAGGCTGGAGGTAATATACATTTCGAGAGATTGTTATTGCAAATTCCAAGATCACTTAAAAGGTGTAAAAGACAGAATGAAAAAGAAAAAAAATCAGAGAAAACATGTTGATCCCTAGAACATTAATATTGACATCAAACCTATTACAGTGAATGACAAATGATATTTGGAACTATAAAAAATGTGAAGAAAGCACATTAGTGCATTTGAGTTAGTGCATATGAGTTTTCGATGAGTTCAAAGATACAAAATAATGTCTACACTTCAATAAAAAAGTGGGGCTGAGTGAGCTTATGGTACTTGAAGTAGAAGACAAGTGCTCTGTCTCGTGTGGTCTTATCCTCTCCTGTCTTTTTGGACTGAATGTTAAAATAAAGCCAGTATTGGGCAGTTTATGTTCTAACCCAGTACTTTTCAATGAGGGTGACTTTGCCCCCCAAGGGAAGAGTTGGCAATGTCTGGAGGCATTTTTTTTATTGTCATGATTAGGGGAAGGATGTTACTGACATCTAGTGGGTGGAGGCAAGGGCTGCTACCAGGCATCCTAGATTGCTCTGGCAGCTGCCCCAACAAAGATTTATCCAAACTCGAAGTGTCAGCAGTGCCGAAGGGGAGAATCTCTGCTTTAACCAATGCCCCTGAAGATGGAATGATTAGAATTGCCTGAAATATTGATTTCCCCTTATTTTGCTCCCTAAGAGCAGACGTCATGTTATTCCCTGACTCCACCCAGGGGGTCTTGAATCTTGGGGTAGTGGGGGTGAAGGCTGGGCTGTATACTTGTGATGAAGCTCTCCAGTTGATTCTGTTACTCTTTCTTTCTCCATTCCCTCTGTTTGCAACCCAACTGAAAACTGACTCACCTGGAAAGGAAATGAATGTTTAGCATAAGTGATTGGAAGAATGGACATTTTCTTCTTCCCATTTCCTGTTCTGTAAAACATCAGTCATTCATTTCCTCTCGCTATGACAATGTATTGGATGTGTGGGGCAAATCTCTGGGTTATCAAAGCCCAAACAAGAAAATGTTCACAAGTGTTTTCCAGGAAATTCAGGTTAAAGTTATTTTTTGACATTCACATAATAATTCTTCACTTGATTTTAGCAAGGCCAACTTCTCACTGAAATATTGCTGGCAAACCCTTTTGAGACTATAAATTTTACAATGAGCGTGGGGCCTGGAATCTTGATGTGTTCTACTTGAGTTCTTTGGGCACAGTTTGTGTTATGGAGCAATTGTGTGTTTAGCTGAGCGGAATTTCTCCTCTGAACCATAAATTTTGCTTTTAAAACTGCAAAAGTTACCATGCCAAACACAACTAAGTCTGGAGGAAAGAACGTGAACTCTGGGACAGATGGTCCTAGATTCAAATCCCAGGCCCGCCACTTGTGAGCTGAGGGACCCAGGACAAGTTGCTTGAGCACTTTGACCAATAGTTTTTCCATTTGTAATCTGGGACCACTGGGAGCTGAGAGGCAGGCTAACTACTGCCCACTAGCCAAATCCGGCTTGCTTCTGTAAATAAAGTTGTGTTGGGACACAGCCGGGCCCATTCGCTTACATACGGTCTACCGTTGCTTTCGCGCTACCGAGGCAGGGCTGAGTGTTTTGAGAGAGACTTAGGTCTGCAAAGCCTAAAATATTTACTGTTTGGCCCTTTACAGAAAAAGTTTGTCGGCCACAACTCTCAAAGGTTTTATGGACTTCAATAGAGTTAGTATATGTAAATCTCACCTCAGATAGAATCTTGGAAAATATTAGACCAAATAAATTGTTTTTAACGCCAACAATAATACTGAGTAGTATTCAGCATCTAATGAAGAGGTCCCTACGTATAAGATGTTTAATTCTTAACAACCGTCTAGGTAGGTACAATTCTCATTTTGTACGTGAAGAAACAAAGTTTCAGAGAGATGAAGTAACTTCTTCCTTGTCACAGAGCTAATTAGCAGAACCGGTGATAAAAATACAAGTATCACGGCTGTTTTGGTTTTTCTTTTTCCTCCTATTTAAACAACCCATTTATACTCTGTAAGACTTTCTTCAGGACAGTTTTTGAACTATCTAAAGAAAAGGAGGTACTGTTTAAGCCACTGAATAAGCCTCAAAGGCCAGAATGTAAATTAACTTTGAATGTTTGCTACCAGTTGTTTTCTAAGCACTTTTATGTTTGTGTTAATTTGCTGCTGTCTCCCTTGTTTTCCATACTTTATCATCCCTCGTTTCTCCTCTTTTCCTTAATGTTTGGTTTCCTTCCCTCCACTTTGAAGCTCCCCTCTTTCTTTCTTAATGAGAGCGAGCATTTTGTAAGGGAGGGTGATGAGTGTCCCCTGAATCTGTGAAGCCATAAAGCAGGTGGTTGAAAGGAGCAGCTGAGTATGACCATGTGACCCTTCTGCGGCTACTCGTCACCAGCGCTATTGATTCCCAGGCATTCTTCACGTTCATGAAATGCTGCCGTCCCTAAAGACATGCCACTGACTATATGGCTTATTATTTTAGGACATATCTCCCAGCCCTGAGGAGCATCTTTAAGGATAGAAAGCCAACTTCGTGGTCACTTCTTACGAAGGGTTGTGGGCAGGAATGACATCCAGCATCGGGGTGTGTGCCTCTTTGTTCATTGGCATCTGGATGTGTATTTCCATGTGTGCTCATTGGCCTCTGGGAGTGCGTGTTCATGTGTGGTCATCTAGCATCTGGGGGTGTTTCTGTAGTTGCTCATCTGGGCATGTGCCTCTGCAGAGAGGGAGCCCTATCGTGCTTTTTTTAGTACACTGTCATCGTGGAAAAGTATGTCCTCTATTGAATTTCAGGGAACCTCCCTTTCCTTTCTATCTCTTGGTCCTAGTTCTCTCTGAAACTACCTGGAATAAAGTTCCTCTACATGGCTGCTCTTCAGAGAATTTGAAGAGCCTTATCTCTTCTTCCTTCAAAGCCTTCATCTTTTTCCACGATTAAAATTGCACAGCCCTTCAAACGTTTCTCATAAGACAACATTCTGACCCTTTATTATCTGAAGCTTGCTTATATTGATCTGTTCTAGTGCATCAGTGCTTTTCTTTTCCAAGTGTAACTTTTTTCTGATTTCCAAGGTAATGAATATTAATTATAAAAAAACCTGGACAACATATAACTCTGAGAAAGGAAAGGAAGAAAAGAAGGAAGGAAGGAAGAAAGGGAAAGAAAATCACCCCATTATCCCACTACCCAGATAAATACTCTGTTAACTGTTGTCCTTACTTTCCTTTCTGTGTGTGTGAGAGAATAGTGTGCATTCTCTCCCCGCCGTAGCATTCACGAAGGTTGTTCCTAACGACCACATTTCACTCTGTTCTGTGGATACATGAGAACTCATCTGAGTCCTTTATAAAGTGTGAGTGACAGAGGCCATCCCCATGTTCCAAGCTGAACTGACCATGGCAGAGCCGCGGTGAGCCTGGCCCCTGCCTCGTTGTGCATCTCAACTTCTCTTCTTAAACATGTAAACATGGGTCTTGGAATTAACTTACTTTTCTTAGTTCTCATCTTAAGCTTTTCCTTAGCATCCAAGCACACTAACCCTGTCAATCTGTAGGAGAGAGGCCCATTTGCAAATGTGATAGGCTGATAAATATGTAAAAAATGATAACAGAATCGATCTGTGTTTTACAGTAGTCATGTGGACTGAATTAGTTAATATATGTGAGGCACTTAGAAGAGTGTCTGGTGCATACTAAACACTCAATAAAAGTTAATGTTTATTTCTACAAATAAGGCAACTTAGGAGTTTAATGACTTGTCCAAACCATCACGGGTCTGGAGGGACCCCGCTTATAATAAGTGTTCCATAATCGGCAGGCCATGCTTGAGAATTTCCTTCACGCTGACTTCTCTGGGGTAAAGGGCCAAATAGTAAATGTGTTAGGCTTTGTGGGCCTTGAGGTCTTGGTTGCTCCTGTTCACCTGGGTCATTGTGATACCAAAGCAGCCATGGGGAGTACACAAAGGGGCGTGGCTGGGTTACAGCAAAACTTTATTTACAAGAACGGGGGAGAGTCAGATGATAGTTTGCAGGTCCTTGCCTCTCCCCCACCTTAGAGAAAATAAGAAGATACTACTTCAGTATCTTCTGGTTCTTAATGCATAAGTAAATGTAAATATATTAGAACATTTATAAATTATCTACAAACTCAGAAAACATGTTGAAAAATAAGAATCACCCATATTCTACCACCCAGAGATAACTAGAGTTTACATTTTGGTGAATATTTGATGAATATTCTTCTAGTAGAAAGATGTTCTTAATCTCTTCCCTTTGTAGGTCTCCCAGAGCTTAGATTATTTGTGATTTACTTCTTAGCACTAAGGCTTAATTATGGTCATTAGTGGGTGGAACAACTGTCTAGGTCTAGTGCCCATGACCCTAAAGGCCAGGCGAGAGGTGGTGACATGCTGTATGAACAGTTTACTCTTTTCAGAGTTGTCTTCTCTCTTCATTGTACAGCAACTTTCCTTATG